GTATTCTTCAGAAGGCTGGGGGAATATTGCTGTCTTTGCTCATTGTGTGCAGCACACACCTTATACCCATCCCCAAAATCCTGGAATTTCATGTCATTGCTTCTTCACTAGAATACCACATGGCACGAAGGATGGCAACAGGAGCTCAGTTATAGAAGAAGTGAAATATCACAGATAAGCATATTGTGATACATTGAGCTTTTTGAATGCTCACTGGGATCCTTTTCCACCAAGGAGAGAAACTGCTGGTCCCTGATTAGGCATTCTGGGTGCTTCAAGAGAAGGTTGTTCATGTGGTTAAACAGTACAGGAACCAAAATCCCCAAGAACATGTGCAACTTCCCCAACTTCAGCTCCACACCTCCAGGGAGCGCAGGCCAAAAAGGATGTGAGACCAGCCAAAATAGAGGTGTTCTTGGCTGGAGAGAGCACTTTGCACCTATTCAGAAAGAGTGTTTGGAAGGTTTTTCACAAATGTAGGCAAGCAACTCACTCAGGCTGCGCTGCGGGCAGGCGAAGCATTTGTAGTGTTCTTTTAACCACTTATCTTCAGATCATGCTCCTCTCACTGGGAATAATTACTAAACCCCCGTGGATGTCTACAGAGACTCCAACAGAACCACCAGGCAACATCAAAACAGCTGCTGCAGGGGTCAAAATAGTTCTTGGTTACTCAGGTTTTAAAATTTTTCTTAAGAAAAGGAATTTTAAAAAGAAAAACCTAGCACTTTTCTGTGGAAAGGAAATACTTCATTTTTGTAATTTTTACTCTAAATCTCTGTGTATCACTGTTTAGTTGATATGTCAGGATAATACATTTTCTATGGTACTACCGGTGAGATATACACTTGCATTACTTTAAATTCTAAAGACACAATTGAAATAAGCAAGAAGTGGTACACTTCATCAATTGAATTTTTTCAAAAGGGAGTTTCTTTCTCCTCTAACCATCTACCAGCTGTTATAAACCACTCACAATACAAACCTCCTTAAGTTGAATAAAATAGGTTCCTGTGCCCACAAACTTTCACAGAAGTTTATATTTTCTCCTCCATTTGATTAAAATTTATTCTTCTCAGACAACAGATTTTTTTCATCTTTGTATCTCTACTTCAGATGTTTCCTGTCTTTTCCTTTACACAATCCATGTATCTGCTACACCAAACCACTGGCAAAACTAAACTGAAAAAGCATATAAATTTTCTTTGGTTTACTATGCTAACCAAAGAATCATGATTTTCAGTTGCTGGAGGACATGATTTATGGTCTTAAGAAACGATGAACCACTACAGAAAGTTCACTGCCAAACTGATTCAAGAGCTCCTGAAGTCTGCAGGAGCATTTCTATTGATGTAGATGGGCTTTGGAGCAGATCCTACACTTAAAATTAGGACTACTGTGTATTACACAGAAAGTAATCAACAAAATAAATCTCAATAAATGTAAGATATGAGGCATCACTGTTTTTAAAGCAAAATTTTCTCTGTAAAAATCCTGGTTTTACCCTTTAATGCAGTAGCTTCTTGGCTACAACACAGTTGCAAATTCACTTGACAGAAAAAGCGTCAATAAGGCCAAGTCTTAAAATAAAGCAATGACTGTGGCATGGGGCAGATTTAAACTTTTAAGTACTGTAGAGAGCTTCTATATGGAAATATCATTGCCCATCACAGGCACACTAGTGAATGCCCAACTTGACTATTTTTCTTTTCCCTTTTTTCATTTTTATTCTATTTGTAAAAGCTCCATGATGCTCAATCCTGATCCATCTTTTAAGAATACGGAATTACACCCACTTCCTTTTGAGCAAGAATTACAATAAACTTCCTCTAGTACAGCAGTATCTTTGCCTCCAGTTTCTGTTAGGAAAGGGAGTTGGTGTTATTACAGTGAAAGAGAGCTCAGCTGGCTCAGACACAATCAGCTCATGGTAATTAGCCATCAAAGCTGAGCAACTCTTGTATCTCTATCCCCTACCTTATTTGTCTGATTTTGTGATTTATCACAACTCCGTGTCATTGCAATAAGAAGCCTACATTCATGTACTGCTCGATCCAGACAAATAACTTTAGAGCCAATATTTTAAATGCTCTATCATGTATTATTTTGTTACAAGACACGTCTCCATCCTCTTCATACACTTCCACTGCTATTTAATGTACATTACTCCTGTCTATAGATTATAACTGAAATACCTCACTTAATCATCCATGCCATATTCCAGCTCCCATTCTTTCAACATAAATCTAAAGAATTAGGATTGCTAGACTAAGAATCTGGGGTCTGGAGATAAAATTTCTCCTGGTCTCTAACTAGTAATAATTATAGTTAAACCTGGGCATGGAAAGACTGGAATAATTTAGTGTCTCTTCTTCTTTCTTCTTTAGATCACAGAATGCAAATGAGATCCAGAAATAACTTTTCTATTCCACAGCAGCTGGCAAAGTCAGGTGTTAAGATTGGCTTTTAGCATATGATCACAGCGACTACTAAACAGTATAAATTTTCTGAAGTGACAGCTTGCCAGTTCTATAGCAACTTGGACTACAGTTCCTGTTTTTATAAACTTCCAACCTTTATAAGTTAAGCCCATTTTTATTGTCAATACCCTTTAAATTTAACATAATGCCGACTCAAAATTTTTTCCTTAATTCTTACATTCCCAGAAATTACTAGAGGAATGAAAAAAGAAGTGTTTAGCTTCATTTTTAGACCTGCTTTTTCTTCACTCTGCCAACTGCTTATAAGCTTGCTTCAGCTTTTTGTTTTCTTGAGTATGTTTGCCACATTAGAAGTATGAAGACATAGAAGAATCAATAAAAGAAAGTTAGCATAGGTTTAAAAACAGCTCCTGTGTGCCAAGGCTGTGCTTAGATTGACAGAGTCAACAAAAGCACAGATGAAGCAGACCAGGACACCTGCAAACTCTTACTGTTGGCTATGGGCCTCCATTCAGCACAAGAAATAAACATTTTTGTAAGGTGAAGCATCTGAGCAGACCTTCTGAAGTCGCTGCAGCTGACTGTCACCACTGTCACTATCATCCAACAAAACTTTTATGCCTAACTTCAGCCATGTGTGCTTGTGATTAAAATTTCCACAATCACCTCAAATCCTGATCCTGCAAACTCTTCACTTTCACGCCCTAACACAGTCACCTGCAGAGTCTCACCCCCAGTTTCAGGGCACTACCAGCCCTTACTGGCCTCACCTGGGACTTCCACCTACACTCCCTGCCCATGGGTCCAGGGTCTCCATCTCTATCTTTCACCTTTAGTCTCAGCTACATTGCAGGAGTCTCTCTCTTCAGCCCTGTGTCCTAGACTGAGAAATCCAAAATATAGCCCTATACCAGCTACTATGAAGAAAATGAACACTATCCTAGCCAACACCAGCACAACCTGGTTCATTGCTTTGCTCTATCTGGGACAGTTGATGGACCCTGCTACCTTGCCCCGCTTGGGTGCTGTGGGACTGGACCCTGCTTGGTGAGGGCACTGCCTGTGCTGGGGTCACCCTCGGCTCACAGCTGCCTTTCCTCAGACCCTGCAGCTCCCTGACACTCACAGAGGTGATTCAGTCAGTAAAATCAAACGTTTTCCTAGAATTCTCTGGTCTTTGGATTGACGCGTGGAAAGTTTCGTTTAAGACAATGAGAATATTTGCAGTCTGCAATATCAGTCCTTCGGTTTCTTCACTGAGATACTGCCCAATGTGCAGGAGAACTTTGAATGCTCTGCGATAAAAATGTGGAGAACCAGGCATGCCTAGCGCAGTTCTGTGTTTCTTGTTCATGTGTGCTATTTCAGCTCCTTTAAAAAAACTAGACCTGAACATTTGAACATACCTTTCAAAGTGCAGAAAAGGCAGATGGGATAAGTAAAAAGTAAATCCATTTTCAGTCAAAAAAGAAAGACTGATTTATGAAGTGAACTTTGTACCATATCTATTTACAACCCACAAAGTCATCTTACAGAGATCTAGGACCTCTGTCCTAGAAAATTCTATTCTCCAAGGAAAATCTCTGCCAGTGCAAAGTGCTGGAATAATTCTTCCAGCAAACAGACTGAGATGATACCAAAAAATGGAGGGAAGGAAGGGGACACAGCAGAATAGTATGTTATTCTGACTATCTAATCACACAGAGGCTACACCAATAGTAGTTTATCAAATGTGACAGTTTTCTGGCTCATAAGCCATCTGGAATTGCCTGACCATGGCCACACTATTAAATTCTCTAAGCCTCCAAAACAGGGTGACCACATCAAAACTCCTGAACTGTGCCTGGGAATTGACTGGGAGAATGCTATTGGTCCAGACCAAAACCGTAGGATCTCTTTCAACAATAAATCCGTACAGACAAGAAAGTTCAGTGCAGGAGAAAGGTCCTCAAAACTACTTCATTTACTTATACAGCAGTAGCTCCAGTCTCTGAGGAATGCACTTCCTGTTATTTTTTCTCTTACACTATAGTTGAGTGGCTGAAACTGTGGAAAAATAATAATTTTGCTGACTCGTCTCTATTATTTTTTGATGCCATGGAGAATTCAAGCCTGTAGAATCCCATGATGTTAACTACCGACACCACATAACATGTTCTGCTTGCCCTGTCCAGCAGCAAAGGCAGATGATTTGGTCCATCCTCATGACCTGGCTGGCCATCTGCCTGTCTGATCAGAACCTGGGTAACTACTGGCCTCACTGGGAACCACATCTCAGGCTTAACCAGAACATAGACTGTTCCTCCACCACCAAGGAAATTATACCAGATGGGATACTACATCTGGTAGTGGGGAATGCTACATCTACAAAAGTGTGGATCAGTGACACTTGAATGATCAGTGACCCCTCCAACGGCATCTCTAAAGCCAACATAATGACACTAACAGAAAAGCAAAATCAAGCCTGCTGAAATTCTGATATTGCACAAATACAACTGGATGTAACATTTCCTCGTGCATGTAAGTTTCCTGTGAAAACTCTGAGGATTAAATAGTTACCTTCTTTAAATTTTGCTTTATGGTTGTACTGTCTCTCTCCACAACCTTCATCATTTCTTGACTTGCCATGTACAAGATGTTGGCTGCAGAAAAAGAAACATGCAATAATGTAAGCACACAGCAAATCTTTTAGAGAAAACTGTATGTACCCAACCCTGCAAAAAGGTAAGGCATCTAGAGCAGTCGTCATCTGGACAGCCCCACTGAAAAGAATCCCACTAACAGAAATGGCACAATTTCTCTCACCTAACTGAATCAAGTCACCCTCCCATTAATTAATTCCATAATTAATGGAAAGGGAAAGACACCTTTGGAATATAACTCTGTCCATCTATCTTACAGACTTCTCTCTACCAACCAGAGAAGGAACTTTGATGACCGGCTTTCACTATATACCTTCCAAAAGGTAAATGTAAGCATGATAAATCATCTATGAAGTATTTGCAAGAGTGGGCTTTTAAATAGAAAACAATCATTAAAAGGCATTATTAATCAATAGATTATTAAATTATTGACATTTCAATATGCAAGTCATTCAAATTTTCAACATAACAAATGATAACAGTAATGGCAAAGATAAGCATAGTTGAAAACTGCAGTCCTGCGTTAATATTGATGGTACTTACCCAGATAGGGCTGGACTGGACACCAAATGTCTACGCTTTACCTTTCTGAACTGTAAAGTATTAAAAATGGCTCAGTGCAATATATTGTGAATTGGTCTGCAAGATACTGTCTCAGAGACATAAAAGATTGAGTCTAATGTTTGGACACCTAATTAAAAGCAGACTAATTTTATGAGGTGTTGAGTTCTGGCAGGTCCCATGTATGTCAGACAGCAGTGGGAACTAAGCGCTTACAAAAAGTGGTTCAGTTTGCCTGGATGCCTAAGTATTCATAAATTTAAACATTTTGACACAGAAGGACCACATTGTGCCCACCAAGCCTGGCTTCTGTTACAGCAGAACCTACAGAAGCTCAGCAAGAAATTTCAGCGTGCAGTCCAAAACTTGGCTTTGAACAAGCACGTACCTGTTAATTATGAGTTTTGCTGCTAGAATAAACCTCATGTACTAAACTGCACAATCCAGAGTTGCTGCGTAACCATCAGTGTTGCAATAAGTCTGCAGATAGTGAGAGGTCCTCCAAAGGCTGCTCAGACTTACCCAGTTTAGTAGGGGTTATCCACTTCTGACATCAGTGCTGTACTGAAGATATGTGCAGATACCATTATCCAAAGAATTAGCACTTGTTTAACCCTTTTTATTCTGCCCAGTCAGCTTACAGCTAATAAGATGGCCAAGCCTTTCCTGACCTCACAATATGGAGCCTCTATGCTTGTTGGATCACAGAGACATTCACAACATAAATGGGAATGCAGGGCAATATTCTTTCTCATTAGTTTGCAGAACCAATGGCAGAACCTGAATGGCTAAATTACCTTAAAGCGTTTCAATTTCCAGGTCTCAGAATAACTGAAAGTATTCTAAAATACTAAATCCTCTCTTGAAAAACAGAAGAAAATGGAAAGACTCTGACTTTCTAAAATCTGAACCAATGAAGTTTTGTGCACAAATAGTTAATGACAGTGTTGGATCTGATACAGGTCTGAGATCGGAGTAATACATTCTCACAATGTGTGATGGGGAGGAAATGGCAATCACATAGGTCTTTGGTGGTGACCAAAATACGGGGTTGGCTGAATTCCAGCTGTGCTCTAAGGAAACAGAACGCCACCAGAGATTTGATTGATGGCTCCAGAGATCAAATGTTAAAAGACAAAGTCAATGCTCTCAAGTGAAAAAAAAAATATCCTAGAAAGTAGTATCTGCTTCTGAGCCAGCCAAAGATGTGGCTCAGTTATGTGCCTGCAGAGCTCTGTCTTTTTCAATTAAACATCAAACGCAGTTAGTGCACGTTCCTCCTTTCCTAGACAAGACGAAAGGGTTGCAGTTATGACATCATACAGATGATCCACAAAATTTCCTGGTCCCATCCTGTTCTACTGGGCAAAGGTGCCTCCGTGCAGTTCTGTGTCTAGCAACTCAGACATCTAATCCTGTGGTGCAGCTGGCAACAGTCTGTCCATACACAGCACTGTTAAGTTCATGCCCTGACATTGGCCTTCTTTTTCTCAATTCAGCTCTAGTGATGCATTATACACCTTTGTTTTTAGGAGGACACACATCTTAGAATGTACCTTCAAAAATCACCTAGGAAAATCTTAAATTAGAGGTATGAAAGATAATGAGGAATTCCGTAGGTATTTAATTAATTTCAGATTGATTCCTGTTTCTAATGTGACAAATATGACTTTAATGTTCAAAGCTCCTACCTATAAGTGAAGCTATCTGTCAGAAGCACTGCTCTGTGTCAGAAGGAAAGGCCGATGATGGAGAGCAGCCCCTGCTGCCCTAAGTGCTGGTCCTTAATGTGATGGATGTGTCTTACTATGGATTTACAAGATTTCACAAAGCACCTAGTGCAGGAGCCTGGATTTGGCAGGGTATCTGTGGCAACAGCACTTGTACCCAACCCACTATATGAGGATTTTAGCAAGCCAGGCCTTTTACTTTCCAGTCCAGAATAGGGTTGTTTTAGTAGGACACGGTAGACAGCCTATAGCTGCAGTCAGAACTTTTGCCATTACCAGTTCTTGGTGAGTCCTGCTCAGATTTCTGAGTTGTTCGTGCGTTTTTTGCAGTAAAAAATAAGAAAGGAAGTAGAATTCACACACTTAGTAAGCTTAGATTAGTCATAAGTTCCTAAAAGTAAAACCGTAAGACAGCAAAGGCAATAAGGACACTCCTCTAAAAGGAACCGTCTCTGAAGGCTTGTGCGCTGTGCAAGAAAGGGGACCAGGAAGGCAGGATTAAGCTAAACCGGATGAATGGCAAGGTTCAAGAGTCTGTTTCAACCAAACAGAAATCCTTCAAATTTTGGAAACATGATCCTAGGGAAGCCAATAAACAGGAACTTAAACTTCAGCAGGCGTTAAGTAAGAGGAAATTGCACAGAGTGAAAGTAGGTTTCCATGAACAAACATTACAAGATTTAAAAATAAACAATAAAATATTCCTTAGGGATATCAGGAACAAGAGGCCTACAACAGAATTTGTACAGGCTGGGGAGTAGCTAAAGAAGGTAATTACACTGTTTGGAAGCCAAACGACTTTCCTTTTTTTGGATCCAACTTTCTTGCTCAAACCATCCAGGACGTTTCTGCTTTCTATATTCTTTTTGTGGCAATAACAATTTCTCTTTGAGCAGTGAGGTATCAAGAGGTAGCAAGAACAGGGAATACAGAACATATCAGGGTACATTTAAGACTTTTAAAGAGCCTTAAATACAGAATTGCTGAATTTGAAACAGTCCTGCTATGCAAGAATCACGCTGTCCTGTCACTTCGGGAGTAGAAAATACTGTCGAATAGCCACTGATTCTGCAAAGAAAAATACTGATCTATAATTTCTTGAACATTTCAATAAGCACAACCAGATGACAAAAATTACAGGTCTTCTAAAGGCTCTGTTACACTCCACGCAATAAACTTTGGTTGAAACTAAACAGCTGTAAAAAGAAAGGTTGTAATACATTAAGAAATAGTCTGGAAACAAAGAAAGAAGATTAGAATTAGATTAGATTAGATTAGATTAGATTAGATTAGATTAGATTAGATTAGCTGGTTTTCATCACAGCAAGGAATAAGGTCTAGATTCATCACAAATACAAAAAAACCTGGTGATCTGATAATTTCTGGGATGGGTTAAACCACCTCTCAAGATAAGGCCTTTAGACCATAGCTTGAATTAAGTGCCTAAACTGAGGTGAGACGAATCCTGGCCTAAAAGTCTAGTCCAGCTTCATATTGAAATCATGGGCAACTTATTTCTTAATGATCTGGTCAATGGATAAGTAACTTATTGATAGCATTTGCGAGGACCTGGCAGTGAGAAATGTGAGAGAGACCTAGAGACAGAAAAAAATCAGCGCATGAGCAAATGAAATTCAAGCTGAAGAAACAGTAAGCAACATACATGCAGAAAGGGACCAAAATATTCTTAACCCTTACATGCTTCTAAATTAATGCAAAGAATGGAAGCAGAAACAAGAGACCCTTAAGATGATTGTTGTTCACTGCACATTTACTCAGTCAAATCATGTATTACTTCATACATAGGAGGAGGATGATGATACTGAATTCTGCAGTACCATTACAGGAATCATATAACATGACCACACCTGAAGAACTGTGTATGCTGGCAGTCAAAGAAGTACAATTAAAGATGTGTTGTTGCCATCATGTTCAAGATACTTCATGAGACACTGTTTTTCCCTCTCCTACAGCACAATAAATTAAAATGCAAAATAAAAGGAAGTACTTTTCTAGTGCTATATGCAATTAACTATGAACCTTACTGCCACAGGAAACTGATAAGCACACATATTTGCCACATTCACATCTAAGCATGTTGCCCTGGGCTCCTTAATTATAAATACAGTTAATACAATTAAACTTAGTGCACATATCTACAAAGGCCAGATAATTTATACTTCCAACAACCCCTCCTTTTTCAGGTACTGTTCTCTAGGTCTGCTATCAATCTTGCTTGGTTTCCTCTGGGTAAGTCCAGTGGCTCATCTTTCTCCTGATTCTTACAGACAGTATTTCAGCTCATTCTAGAGAGTGGCTCTCTTCAACAGTAGAGCTGTAGCTCTTTAAGCCCATGTACCTCTTCATAAGTATAAAAATCATGTCTCTGTTTACAACACAACATGTTAACCCATATCAGCTTGTGAACCAGAATATTCCCAGGATTTTTTCCTGCAGAACTATTCCTTAACCAGTGATTGACCTTCCTTGTACTTAATTTACATGGAGAACAACTTGGCTTTTTGAGGAATGACAGTATTCTCCTCTCTGTGCCTCCAACCACTTCTCTTAGCTTGTGAAGGTCATTTTGACCCTGTCCCTCTTCAGCATATCTGCAGCATATTGTAGCATGGTGCTATCTGTAACCTCAGCAAACACACACTGCATTTTGTCAGTCACATCCCTAACTCAATCACTGTAGATTAAACG